TGAAAATGAACGTTTTTGATTTTTGTCCTAATGAGTAATTGCTCCACCAATCCTCAGACATTCAGCAATTCGTCGTGGCATGCTATTAATAAACCGTCTAATCACGATTTGGGGCAATCTGATCCACTCCTCTTGCAGTGCCACGGCGAATTCTTGCAGCGTTTTCGGTTGACGTTGACGTCGACTAACACGTCTCCCGATCAAATTAAACGTAACACACTAAAGCAAAGATATGCTAAACAGTAAATATTATGCAAGAACCGATAGGAAAGCAAACATGGATAGATAAACCAGTACGCGGCAGTTTTCATCAACTCTTCCTTGAAATGTCAAATTTGACAATGAACCCCTCCCGCGTGTATGGCGCTATTGTGTGTCGCATGTGCAGCTTAGTGGTTCTGTTGGGGCGATAAGTTCTTCATCTGTGAACATACTCTCAAAGCATGTTAAATGTCCATGACTATTTATCTTATCGCAACCTGCATAGGTATTTGCATTTCAATATCCCCTACTTTTTTAAAGAGTATATATAAAGCTTGTTCCTTCACCAATCGAAATAACACATTGCAACAACCCACTTTTACCTTAGATGCTTAGCTCTTTTAAAAGCTGGATGCAGTTTATGTGGTCATGTAGGTCGAGAAGTAGCTTGAGCTAGTTCCAAAGCTCTTTAACGTACAGATAATGAATTAAATAGTATTTAACGGCACGTCAACGCCAACCGGGAAATATCACGCCAAAGAACATACATATAAGGAGCACACGAGTACTGAAAAGCATGGACACGCGGATGGGCATGGGGTGGGGGCGTAATTCTGTAGCACAGGTAATGTTGCAATGAGGTAAACTTTAAAAAATAATATCAAAACTTAATCAGGATTCCAACATGAAATGAACTACTACCTGTGTGAGATTGCCTCAAATACAGTGTATAATGAATCCAATGACAAATGGGATCAGGTGTCTCGTAAAGAAGTTGGCATTTCAATGAAAGGAATAGAGATTTTATAAATTATTCAATATCTATAAAAGAAAAACAGGGCATATAAAAAAAAAACTACATCCATAGTTCACGTTCGGTATTCAAATGCAGTAATTGAAAGAGATGTTGTGTTTTTTTTTTTTTAAAAAAAACTTATGAAAAATCGACACTGTTAAGAGATCATGGAAAACATGAAATTCATGATTTCTGTAGTTCTGTGAAGATAGAGAAAATGATAACAAGGAAATAATGAAACGCATGACCATCGACTGCCAGCGTTCAGATGTCGTGTTGAACGTGTTTGCCAGATAATGAGCTTCTCTCTATGTTATTTTCCGTACAGAGAAAAGCTATAGGAGCAACTAATGAATTTCTAGAAGATAATTGCGAGAGTTGCAATACACATTTTTCACAGTCACAAAATCACATTTATCTTGTCTATACCAACCATTTGTGCGAGTGATGGTATTGATTTTCATGCTGACCGTAACGTCGAGTCGGGGATATGTTTTGTCTTGTATTCTTTCGTACCGACATTATGATTAGAAAATTGTTCTAACCTGCGGCGCCATGTTAGTCTACATTAAAGGCAAATAAAAATATGGAATCAGTTTTGTAAAGAAATGAATGCATTTATAAGCCATAAACCAGTAGCACAGTGACTGATAATGGGTATGAAAATCACATCGTTTATATCAATGATAGCTAAATACAGAAATAACTATACAGATTAATTATGTTATATATATTTCAGGACACAAGTCTTGGGTTTTAAGCGGGGTCTGGTGGATATTCTTCGAATTAAATGCAGATAATTTAGCTGTTGATTCATTTGTTTTATTATACTAATTTACAGCTGGATTTATACACGAAATTACAAGAATTCCTATTTTATTTTGACATTCAAACCAAAAACTTTAGAAGATGAGGTATGTATCTATAAGATATGGAAACGATGCAACGTATATTTTATTTTCTTAGATTTCAAGTTGTATAACTGCTTTTAAGTGTTAGCTTTGTTGACATGTGCGAAAAGTTGGTGCAGCAAGAACTGCTCTAATTCTATATGATTTGTAGATTCATCTTTTATTTTTCACATTTATCTGATTCAATGTAGAAAAATACAATAAAAAAATGAAGAAATCATGTAGAGACATCAGCGATAACTCCTGTGGAAAGTGGCTGAAAATATCTAAATTAAAATCTCTATTTATGACACATTTTTATCCAAAGTTTGTTTTATGTATATTTAATAAATACCACCTTCGTATACAAAGATTAACATAAAAGACTCTAAATGGATTTTCTGATTCATGGCTTTTCTATTTAAACCGGTTTTCGGTTCGTTTTATTTTAAATAAGCAAAATAAATGACATTCGATAATTCTTTCAAAGATCGCCAGTCACCATTCTTTATTTATTTTGTGATTGCGATATTATTAACTTTTAATGATTAATATAATGCTTTTATTCAATCAGAAATTCGCCTGTTTGAAAAGATCTACGTGACTATACATTTCTGATCTGATATATGACTCTTTATTTCAATTAGTTTAAAGTAAACAGTTTTACTTAATCTCCGGTTCAATTCATCCATTTATTTTCAAATATGTAAGTCTATATTCTAATCTGCTTAAAGAAACCTCTGATTTAATAATTCTCAGTATTTCCCCCAAGCCCACTTTAACATTTTTGTGCAAGTTTTCAAGATTTTCAAAGTGCTTTTTCATTAGATTTAGTTTTTGATTTGATTATAATTACTAAAGGTTTTCATATCTTTTAAAAAAATATATTGCTAAAGCAGAAATATTTTTTCTTACGAAATTTAATTTTGATTTCCTTTTATATTAGAAAAAAATCTAATGATAATGGATTCTTGATTAGTTTTACATAATTATAACTCCCCAAAACATAATTACCATCTATTCAAAATAAAAGTAGCTAAACGATTCGAGTTTAACATAAATCAAAGAATCCCCAAACCTATATGAGTATCATTTATTGAAAACCATAGTTTATTAACCTCGTTTAAAATCATTCAGAGTATACTCTTGACAAGTGAAATGCGCCTCAGTGTTTAAAATTAAAGAAATATAAAGAGAAAAAACCCCCCAAGAAAATATCTTTTAATGACTTTCACAAAAATAGTAACATCCAACATTTAATAAAACCAAATTTTGTTCTTTGATAAACAAAAAAATGTGTATCTCAACAAACTTTAACTTAAAAACAAATTAGTAAGAATTTCTTTTCTGTCGACAAAGGAGTTTATTATGAAATTGAATTTCTAGTTTTCCAGAGAAAATTGTAACTTAATTAATCCGATATAATTTCTCTTTAATCTTGCTGAATCTTGTTTAAGAAAAACCCAACAACCTCTGACCATGATCACCAGCATCTGAACTGAACAGAAGACATATTTTACTGTCACTAAGGCGGCTTTGTTTCACGCAACAAATCCAATCTTTTTAAATTAGTTTGACCCTATTGTTCATGCAATGCAAGATTCACAAACTTTTGCAGATGTAAAAAGAATTGGGAAGAAAATAAATTAGAAAATGACAAATCCCCTATTTGAAATAACACGGGGAAAATTACAAGTGCGAGTTGCGTACGAATGCGATGTTAGCGAGTCGTCTCACTTGATTTGATTTAAGGAAAATTGTTAGTAATAAATCCTTACTTCACCATTAAACTGTCAAACGAATTGGTGCCAACATGATTGTCTCCATTGAATAAACATCAGACTCATTTCTTCATTTCACTACACAAGAAATATGTAGTTTTCCTCATTTGGGGCTAGCAGGATAATGTTTGTAAAACCGGCGCAAGGCAACATAAATAATCATGAATTCGCCGTAAGACTTGAAAGTCTGTTGGTTTAATCCCGAGATTTTGTCAAATAAATTGAAATGGTGAAAAGTAATTATGATCTAATTCTACCAAAATGACGATCACGTAACCACATTATGCGAAAACCTAATTATGTGGTCTAAAAGTCTTATTGATTTATTTTAAAAGAATATTTATCTTTCTAAGTTTGAAAGTTGAAAAAAAAGGGAGAGAAAAAAAAGAGCTTTATCAAGTCTTCAGAAACACAACACTATTGAATTACTGGAACAAATATCAAATGTGAAACTTTTGATAAAGCTCTTGGAAGAAAAAAAAAGTTCAACTTTTATTCTTTCGTTTTTAGAGTGTATCAAAAATTTAATGAATTCCTAAAAGGATAATAAATGGCTGCTCACGAACACGTAGAATTTGTTTTATTATTCAAAAATGTTCATTTGCTTCTATTCTTAAAGAAGAACCAAAATCTTGAAAGATTTATAATTTAATAACGAAAGTTTTTTTCCTCTCAACATTTAGTTTCTGAAAAAAGGTGTTTATCTAAAATCTTTAAAGATTCAACTTCATCCCACAAACAGTTAAATTATACAAGTTGACGTTATGCCCATGTGGCTGTTTTTATTGTTTTAAATTCTTAAATATATTAAGTAAGAACTAAATTACGAAAGGTGTGTAATCCTCTCTCATGGTTTGTGTCATTCTCTTAAATTAAAACATTTTTCAAAACAAATGTACGAAATATCAACGGAACCCGAATATGATTCCAGCACTCTCATTTCTATGGAATTTTATATAATTAGTTTAGCTAAATATTCAGAGTAAATTGTACGGAGTAACACCGAAATCCAAACACTAGACCCCAAAATAATATACTACAATAAAGCAGTTAGCGTTATAATGAGATTATCAAAAGGTTATCAAACAATTATTGCAATTACTCATTAATGTGATACCATACGCCAATGTAATAAATAGAAACGTACTTGATCCGATAAAACTTAATTAAGAAGAAAATTAAAGGAGTCTTGCTTTCTTTTGTGGTATTTAGTTTTGTTTTATGGCCCTTCTGTTTATCAATTGGTACGTTGCGGTTTAAAACCCTCCGACCATCGTTAGCCATTAGCAATAAAACACACACTTAAACACCCATAAAAGACAATAAACTCACCGTGATTATCACAACGACGCTCCGTTACTGTGGACAGTCGCTCGCTGCAGGACTTCTTTGGCTGATAGGATGTGATTCAATCTTTTCAAGACACTTACGAACCATTTGGCATCTCGGTCCAAAATCATTTAATAAAGTCGTTGGTAAGGAATTGAAGTTATCGTCTGCGAGAGAGAAGTAGTATCATACACGAGCAGTCGTCATTTAGAAATGGGTTATACCGTTAAAATATGGACCAATGAGAGAGTCGGATAATGAGAAAGCTTAAGAAGAAACAACCCGCATTTCTCTATATACAATGGTATGTTTGCAAGACAATTGGAAAGAGGCGTTGGCAAGATGGATGGAAATTCAAATAAATAAAAGAGAGAAAATCTGTCGAATCCCTTTCTTTCTGAGTATGAGTATTGGGTGAAGAAATGTCCGTTAATTCATAGCACCTGAGCGTAAAGAGTCAAGACAGATTTCATTGATTTATAGAGCTCTCACTAATATATTTTAAACACCCTGCCTTTCTTTCTATCAAACTACCATAATCTAGAGAAGATAATTTATAGATTTGTGGCATATTATTTTTTATCCTTTTCGCATCATTCAACATTAATCCTAAATGTGAAAACTCTTTTTGTTGGGCATTTTATGACAGAAAACAGAAAAAAAAATAAGAATGACCATCAATCATAATGAATATCTTTGTTTTGATTTCAATTTTTTAATTCCTTATGGTGAAACCTACACGTGTCCAGTCATAAACAGTGCATGATCAGGTGTATCCTTTGAGGAACAGATCATGCGTGTACATTTCGATTATTTTTAGGCCTTTAAATATATAATGACAGTAAGTTCTTCTTCACCTTCTTTTCCACTGATGAAGATTGGCATTACACAAATAATTCAATTAAGGAGAATTTACAAATTGGACGAATCTGCAAATGTTCATGCTTATATTCTGATTATTTTGATTTTGTTAACTTTGTCAATTGAGACATGGTTAAAATTTGTACCGCTCCTTATAATTTTGCTCTTAAAATAATTTAGTAACTAGAATGCGATATAAACAAAATACATTTTAAAAAATCCGAATTATGGCTCTAACTGAAACCCAGTCATCTTCAACTGTATCAGTGGTGTCAATCATAAATAAGTATATTGTGCTAGATTATGATGAGTGGTCACTCGATGATATTATCTAAAGATAGATGATATATCAAAAGCTTTATGGCCATTTCTTATTCTAATGATCTTGATATAGGTGACTGATTCCTTCCAGAGGAAAGCCCCATTTTAAAAATTTGTCGGCTTAATGTCTTATGTAAATAAGGAATAACTCGTTATGTTTCATTAATACCATACAATATATCTACTAAGTAAGTTTTAATGCTCACTCAATAATTCGCTTAAGGAAATGTTTTTAGCATTCGGGAGAACCCGGTGAAAACTTACAAGGTTAGAAAGCGACCTGGGGACTTTTCCCGATAAATCGTTTGATCGAAACCCATATATTGATGACATACCTTTTAAACGATAGGACACAGAACTCACAATATGAGGGGAAATCGCAATGTAAACCATGGACATAATAAATTAATCATGTAATAAAATTGTTTTGATTTTCCTCTGAACAAGTTTTTACTAAATATTTACTCTTCAGATTTGAAAAACACAAAACATTATAAAATGAAATGCTATTTTCGGGAACAATATATATTTCCTTTTAGGGTCAGTAGTTCCAGTTCACGAAAGCGGATCATGGCCTTGCTGATCTAAGGAAAATATTTTCAAACCTGATAGCAGGAATCCGAAACGGGGTTAGAATCGGGCATTTATTCTGCGTCTGTGATTAAAGATCTGATAAGGGCTTGTCTGATGGTTGCTTGTAAATTTATGTCTCCCCGAGGAGATCTGGGGTTACCAGGCGAGGTATCGGCATTGATTCGTCTCGTGTCCTTGTTGCCTCTCAATGTTATCACAATCTTCCGGCTAAGAAGCACAGCAGGTCATAGAATTGGTTTCTTTTTGAAATTTCAGGAACCATCTAAGAAAGCGATGATCGATTCAATGAAAGAGTCTTTTGAGATACATCTCTTAATTCTGGTATCAAAACACGTTTTTTTTATGTTATTCTGTTCTCCCAATGTCTCGAAACATTTTTGTCGTAGGTGCACTTTTATTTATTGCTAAATCAATTTATTTAGATGAATACACAATTAATATAGATGATGTATTAATAATGTGTAAATAAGTCATATTTAATGATATATCGTGTTTTCGTCTTCCAGCTGAACAAATATGAAATAACCGAAAGAACAAAAATATTGATCTTCAATTATTTTTTAGTATCTTAAAGATGTTGATTTGGTAGGACTCATGGTGTAAATGACTTAAAGTTTCTAAAATCATTAAATTTCATATTTTGTTACAAATTATTGTGCAAATACCACATTCAAACAAGACTCGACCGTCCCTCTTTTAAAACCTGTCATATCAGAGACTTTTGAGGGTCACTTAATGTGAGAGATATTCGTTCATATACACAATTATTGTCATCTGCTCTTGTACTTTCAGGTACCATTAATTTGTCTACAAATTGCTCATTATGATTTAACAAGGCTGTCAACCAACACCTCAAGCGATGACCAACGGTCAGTCTTGGCATTTAGTAAGCTGTCCGAAAAATCATGTCGGATTGGGCGTCCACGCGTGCCAAGCGTTGTAAACGTCAGTTTTGCGTTATTTACAACTTTGGTCGTACATATATATCTACTTGGCATACGACAAGTGAAGATGGCGGCATGTTGTGATTGATAGCTAATTATTAAATTACTTAAAGAACAAAAAAAGTACATACTTCTTGAAGCATAATACAGAGTATTCTTGACTTAATGTAAACTATAGGTTCATTGTTAATTGTTCGGGTATAACAATTGTTCGAGTGTAAAAACCCACGAGTGTCATAAGATGTTAATTGGGCTGGCGAACTATTTTATTACGTCTCCGTTACCCCCAACTCCATTGCGTGCGTAGATTAATTTTAAACGTTGATTAAAAAACATACAAACATTTTTCATAATTCTTACCTTAGAACAATTGGCCTTTTCTGTCAGCAGTTGAGACTAGACGAATATATTGTTCAAATCGTTGGGAGGATGAAAACCACACAATGTTTATTGTAATTCGAGGAAGAAATAAATTTATAACCAGGAGGATGAGAGAGAAGTAGCTGGGTAGTTAGCATTGATATGATTTACACTAATTTACAAGTTAGACCATAAACAAGATGAACACTGGGCTAGAATTAACCTCTCACCAACAACATACTTCGGTCATTTTGAGACTAACATCAGATATTTTATTTCTTTGGTTATGTATGCTATGCGAAGGATTTTGCTTAATCTTCTTTGATATAAAAATCCACACGGGTGGATAAGAAGTCCGAAATATCAGACATACTTTCCTTGTTATTACCCCAGGAGACACATCCTTGGTAGGCCAAGGTTGATCTTGAAAAATCCCCAAATGCGTCGCTGAATTACCACTAATTTGTTTGTGGACACAATTTTTGTCCGATTTTGACGAAACTTGAATTATAGGTCTATCTCCCAAAGATCTCGGTTCCTGTCGATATTAGCATTTATCGGACCATAACTTCATGGGTTATGGCCCCAGATTGTACATAAAAACACATTTTTAGCCTGTGGGCACGCTAGAGGTCACAATTTTCATTCGATTTTGACGAAACTTGAAATGCATGTTTATAACCCAAAGATTTTGGTTTCTCTCGAAATTCGAGCATATTGGATCGTAACTACCTGAATTATGGCCCCTGATTCTACAAACAATCGCGTTGTTAGCTTGTGGTCCCTGTAGAGGTCACAATTATCCGATTTAAAAAAAAAACCGTTCGAATATATCACCGTTACACTGAACCTGTCGGACTAAATGGCCGTCGCTCGTACGCAAATAGTGTAAACATATTATTATGGTATATCTAGTTTGTGGACCCTCTAGAGGTCACAATTTTGATCCGATTTTGGTGAAACTTGAAATGCATGTTTACCCAAAGATCTTGGCTCCTTTCGTTATTCGCAGATATCGGATCATAACTTCCTGAATTAGCTTGTTTTAGTTTTTAGCTTGTGGTCGCGCTAGAGGTCTCAATGTTTATCCTATTAAAAAAACGTGTGAATATATATATTACCGTAACACCCTAATGATGGTTGAGTTCGAATTTCGTGAAAATCGGACTAAAACGGCCGCCTCTCGTACGCAAATAGTCTAAAAGTATGGTATATCAAGGTTGTGGACCCTCTAGAGGCCACAATTTTTATCCGATTTTGATGAAACTTTAAAACTATGTTTATATCACAAAGCCCCTAGTTCCTGTTGATAATCGCGCATATCTGAACGTTTCTTTTTGGATTGTTCGAAAAATCGCATTTTTAGCTTGTGGACCCACTATAAATCACAATTTATATTCAATTTTAAAAACCGTTTAAATATATCACCGTTACACATCAATGAAGGTTGAGTTCGAAACTGCCAGACAAAACGGCCGCTCCTTATACGCAAATAGTGTAAAAGTATGTCATACCAAGGTTTTACTGGACCCTATAGAAGTCACAATTCTCATCCGATTTTGATGAAACTTAAGATATATCTTTATATCCCAGCGATTTCAATCCCTTTTGATATTAGCGCATTTCAGACCATAACTTTCTGGATTATGGCCCTTGATTGTACAAAAATCGCGTTTGATTTTAGTTTGTTCTCTATCCATCTCTTGCAAAATGCGGGTGTATATTGCCTGGCAACCGCTAGTTATGTATATTTTTCAGAATAAATTGATTTTGTAAAAGGTTCCAAAGAACTTTTAGTCATTCTGTCAAGCGTTTGTGATCTAATGGATTATGATGTACTGCTATGCGGTTTTAGGTGTACGGTCAAAATACACACCACATCATGGACGATCTAATAACAAAGTAGTGTCAGGTACTCTTTGTCGTGTATAATATATATCCTTTGTGTTCATATCTATTCTACTATTATCAGCAGTAAAATATGCAAGGCCAAGAACCTTTGACTCAATTATACACACAAACGGACTGGCTAAAGTGTTTGTCCAAATTTTGACAGCCGCGGTGGTTCACTGAGTAAGAAGGTGGG